GTTACATTTCCATGACTTTTCCAAAAATATTGTTTTCCATAACTTTTCCAGGGCCTGGAATTAACATTTTGAATTTCCATGACTTTTCCAGGTTTTTAATGACCGTAAGAACCCTGATAATCATTCCTTGCAGTCCTACTTGAGTCCCAGTCCAGTGGACCTGTGTCACTGTGGGAAACATAATGACTATCAGCTGTCTGTTTATCCCCACCAAAACCACTCACAGCATCCTCAAGAAAGAGAAGTCAGGGGGGAATGGGGTCAGGGAGTCAGTAGACTACAGAGTAAGACGTTCACATCCGAAGCCAAATACTTTGAAAACATTTGAAGTATTTTCTGACAAAATGATGTCTGTTTTAGGCCAAAAGCCAGATTCTAACATCAGTTGCAAGATGGATGAAACATTTCAGCTACACAAGGTACACCACTGAATGTCATAAAGTATCACTGGAATATTTTCACATTTAAAGGTTTGGATTATTTCCAAATGTGTGGCCTAAGAATGATCTGAATTCCTTGGCATGATGCTATATAATCAATCAACACCTCTCTACAAAAAGTCTGATTGCTTATTTCAGATGACTGGTGTTAAGCATGAAAGATTCCTTTTAAATCTCCACATGTATGACTATTTGCAGGAGAGTGCATCAGAGCTGTGCTGCTGCTGTCATTACAGGTCCCCCCCGACAGAGGGCCCCCCTGTGTAACAGATGTCCGTCAGACAAAGTGAGCCACATGTGGAAACACTCAGCCTGAGAGCCAGAACAATTGAGGAGACAGGAAATAAGGCTCTGCTGTGTGTGGGTACCCGTTCGCCACAGTATCACTGTTTACTGTCAACGCTACAGCCCCAATATGTGTGTGACGTCTGTGTGTGAATGCATGTGTGTTTCCATGGAAACCCTGCCTGAGACTATTGAAGGTCATGTGTGATAGGCAGTGACAGTGTTTATATTTACTGCCCCTTCGTTATGTGGTTACAACTCATACATGGGTATGTGTGTGTGTGTGTGTGTGTGTGTGTGTGTGTGTGTGTGTGTGTGTGTGTGTGTGTGTGTGTGTGTGTGTGTGTGTGTGTGTGTGTGTGTATGTGTGTTGGGATAGTATGCGGCCATAAAGTGGAGAGGTCCACCACTGCTGCAGGGTCAGATTTCCTGAAAGAAATGCAGTTTTTCTGGATGTTTCCTGTGGTTTTCATTGAGTTTGCATCTTCAATCTGTGTTTATTCAGCCGCCAGTTTACTAAGACAGTGACTGGGTCACTGGTCCGCTCCTCAACTCGCCCTGGTGCTGAACATCCACACTCATACCACATGTTCCTCCAGTGTTTGTTTGCATTACAGTAATCTAGCTGTTTGTAAAGGAGACGTTCATGGAGGTGGTTCTTGTTGTAAAGCTCATGTTGTTGTTAGTGAAGCAGAACATAGATCTTTCAGATTGAGCATCAATTTGGTAAGACAGTCGTCAGTGTTCCTCAAATGCAAAAGTGTACCTGTAGAGGAGGACTTCATTCTCAGTAAGCTTATTTTGGATAAAGTCTAAATCTTTATTGTTGTACCAAGCAGTATTGAGGACAGGCCACAGTGGTTCATGAGCTGCCCCAAGCACTGTCTGCCAGGGAGAGCTAGCAATCTGATGTGAGGGCCACCTGTGTGAAGTCTGAGAGGTTTACTGCTCTGAGGGGGCTGACTCTGGAAAAAAGGAGTGGGAATTTGAAAAAGAAAGTAAGGTGAACGTGTCCCTTTTGTCCCCAGTGGAAATCATGACCTTGCCGGCAGCAGTGAAGCTTTAAAGCAATTATCACAAATAAAATGATTTATACCTGAGAGAGGGACAGGACCCCACCAGCTGCTGAGAGGACAACACAGGACAGCAGCTGGGGGTGGGTGGGGGGGGCTTAAAGAGCAGTACAAATTCAAATATCAAATTGTTCTTTTAATGTATTGTCTAGAGACGAATAGAGTGCACCCAGGACGACATACTGTAAAGTTCTGTAGTAGGGCGGGACTTAGTCATTTAAGTTCCAGAACTTACTGTTTGACTTAGGCTCTCTCTTCTCAGTTTCAAATGGCCTCCAAAGAGCATTTCAGAGTGGCTGAAGGCTGAAATGTGACCCTGTCCTCCCATACAAGTTAGCATTTTCTCATGAGCGTTTTTGTGTGTTAGTGTATAGGGAAAGTGCCAGATATGCTTTGGTTCAGGACGCTAGGCACTCCACAGGCTGACAGAGAATAAGTACTGCAGCATCACTGAGCCCTCTGGGGTGTGTGTGTGTGTGTGTGTGTGTGTGTGTGTGTGTGTGTGTGTGTGTGTGTGTGTGTGTGTGTGTGTGTGTGTGTGTGTGTGTGTGTGTGTGTGTGTGTGTGTGTGTGTGTGTGTGTGTGTGTGTGTGTGTGTGTGTGTGTGTGTGTGTGTGTATGGTGGAAAGCGGTGTCCTATTTTACGTCACTAGCAGTGTGTGTACCCAGATGTACACCCAAAGTAGGAGACCACTTTTAAACACATACACACACACACACTTCTGTTGAGCGATGTAACAGCAGTGTGGCCTACATTCAGCGAGGTTCAGGTCATATTGTCTTACAGCAGCAGAGGACATGAGCAGCGCAGAAAACAATGCTCGTTAACATGTGCATGTTAGTGAGAGGCCGTCTGTGTTTCATAGGATCAGCAGCGTAACGTTTCTGATTATTTATACATCTATCAATAATCTTTGATATATTTTTTAAATATTGCAAAAAAAACGTTTCCAGACCACAACATCCCATCTTCAAATGTTTATATTGTTCCAACTAACAGTTGGTCAAAACCAATCCTCACCCATTTGTGAGAAATCCAGTTATTGAACCACACTTGATTCAGTTAGCAGATTACACCTATATTTCACTGAATTCATCCAAAAAGAATTGAACCTAAGGGAATTGACGAATCACATGTTCTTAAATATTGAATATAGACAATATATTGTCTACTGAGTACAATAAAGCACACATTACGGGGCCAAACAGCTTTGTCCAGTTGGGCCCTTTGAGTTCAAAGACAAAGTAACCCTGCTTTCCAGAGAAAGGGCTGCAAGCTGGGAGCCACTTGCTTCAGGTACATGTGAGGTATGAAATACAACTCCAGTTTTAGTAGCAGATCTGCAAGTTAGAAAAACAAAATCTGTGCACAACTTTAATCTGATAGAGGGTCAGCAACAAGGCCCACAAATGCATCGACTGCTCTCTCCCCTCATTGCCAAGGATTCCTCCCACCACCTGCCCCCCCTCCTGCCTTCAGGGAGGCGATACACAGCTATCAAGACCTGAACCACCAGAACATTAAACAGTTTCTTTACCAAAGCCATACACACTCTGAACTGAACACACACAGTGCCTCTGCAACCCACATCATGAACTCAAACCCACTGGTCATCGATTTATCAGTTACAACCTTATCGGTTATACTGAACTGCTTTATTTATTCCCCAAAGCTCTTTAACTGTCATGTCCTGTTCTTCTTGTTTTTGTCTTGTATTGCTTGTTTCTTAAGAATTGTTCAAATTGTTAGCGAATCGCTGTGTATGTGTGTGTTTTAAGCACTGCTGGTATGGGCACTCGTCATTTCATGTATTTGATATACAATAACAATAAAGGCTTCTATCTATCTAACTGTAGTTGGAACAATTGCAAGGTAAACAGCAGGAGGCAGCGTTAAGGTTACCTGTAATAAGACTATGCACTATTTGATAGTATTCATAACATACATCAGCTTCACTTCTGAAATGTCTTCTCCTCCTGTCCTGCACCTTAGCGCGTGGAACGGGTTTCTGCTGTTAGAGGTCCAGGAGACTAAACCAACGCACTTCTGTAAGTCCCTGCGGTCACCTTCAGCACTGTGGCAACCACAGCTGAGAGGGAAGGAGCATTTATTATTGGGGATATATCCCCAAAGACACTTGTTCTTTCTTAGAATAACACAAACTGTGTACATTATATTTGAAACATGTCAACATAATAGTGTTTAGGTTGTACACCACATGGTGGCCCCCAAAAAAATTGGCTTTTGGACAAGCATTCATGTCTACAGTTCCCTGTGCATCAGGCTGTGACTCTGCTCAGTCTGATCCACAGAGACACTGAATCCACTCACCTTCTCTCGAACCATCTTCTGTCTGTCCAGGTCCACGTCCCTCACTGGTTCTGGCTCCGGAGACCCCGGCGGTCTCTCCCCCACCCTGTCCGGCTGGCCGTCAGTGTGGACCTGAGAGGAGGAGGAGGAGGAGGCAGGGGAGGAAGCAGGTATGGACGGGGAGGAGGAGGAGGAAGCACCAGGGGGGTGTGCAGGGGAGGAAGATGGAGAAGTGGCAGACGGAGGAGGAGCGCCAGGAGCTTGGTCGCCACGGAGACGCAGCGTTTCCTGCCGTAGTGTCTCGTTCTCAGAGGCCAGTTCCTGCCGCTCCCGCCGCACGCCGCTCAGCTCCTTGGTGAGGGCGTCCAGCCGCTGCCTCAGCTGGCGCACCTCGTCCCGGGCCCGGTTCCTCTCCGCACGCACCTGCAAACATACAAAAACACAAGAGGAACTTTAACAGCCCGAAATTGTCGTTTAATAGCAAGCCTTCTCACACCAGAGGATGATGGGGACTACTTTCCTCAGTGGAATCATCCACATCATGTGGATATGTCTGTAGTAAGTATTTGTGGCAGCAGGATGTGGGATTTAATCCAAATAAACTACAGTGTGTATTCATGAGGAATATGTCACCCAGTGCAACAGGCTGGCTCATGGATGAGTTTTGGCACATATATCTGGCCTTGATCAGGCACTACTACACGCTGCTATTTCAGTGTTGGTTTAGGTACCATTTTGAAGAAGTGAAATACCTGTTCTCCTGATTCAAGCCAGAGTTGATTTTTTTTATTTTGAATTTCTACTCTTTTCTCAAAAAAATGCTTTGAGGTGTCACATCATAAAAGATTTCATGACATCATGAAAAGCCAAGTGGGATGATGTTTCTCTCCTAATGCAGATTAAATGTATACGACCATCATTTGTAGAAGGCAGCTTAACATGACCCAACTGAGGGAGACATGTTTCATATATGTCATGCATAAGAGATTTTTTATGAGAATAATCTACCTACAAGCTTTTACTGGAGATGTAAAGGTCACCTATTATGCAAAATCATGTATTTTCTACATCAACATGTGTCCCCTCTTTTTCACATCTCTTCTACATCAACATGTGTCCCCTCTTCTTCATGTCTCTTCTACATCAACATGTGTCCCCTCTTCTTCACGTCTCTTCTACATCAACATGTGTCCCCTCTTCTTCATGTCTCTTCTACATCAACATGTGTCCCCTCTTCTTCATGTCTCTTCTACATCAACATGTGTCCCCTCTGTGTAAAGAGACTCTGAAAGTTTCAGGAACAAAGATTCTCTCTCTTTTTGTCCTGACCCATTTAAATAAAAAGCTGATCAGATTTTGGCCACTTTATGATGTCATAACGATGTGTTGGCTTGTGTAACCATTAGCCAATCAGCAACCAAGGTAACCCCCCCCCACCATCTTATCACCTAAATCTCCTCCTAGAGCAGGGGTTCCCAAAGTGGGGGTCACGAGACCCCGAGTGGGGGTCGCGAGATGATTACAAAATAAAAATGGAAAGACCCCCACTTTGGGAACCCCTGCTCTAGGAGGAGATTTAGGTGATAAGANGGTAGCTACCGTCTGAAGGTCTGAATGTGAAACGCTGTGGAAACGAGCTCTGGGGACGGCTCTCTCCTCGTGGAGTGCTTTATTTCAAGACTTTGCTGTAGGCATGTTCTCTGCAGAGGAGTGCATCTGCTGTGCACGGACACAAATATCAACGTGGAAGAATTGATTCTGTTTTCTCTTCCAGAGCCTCACACATCCGTCTCTTCTTTTGCCCTCTGCCACTTTCACATCCCATTGATCTCTCTATCCCCTCATTTTATTTCTTACTCCCTCTTCTTGGCTCAGCCTCCGCTCCTTTTCTACCACGACTCTCTGTTGCTTTCCCCATCCCACTTCCTCTGATCTGTGTGCTCTCTCTGCCTCAATCCCAGATAATTCCCTCTCTGTGGAATTGGAAGATTGCAACAGGCGAGAGCAAAAGAGAGATTATACTGTCAGATTAGTAGACAGGAGCAGCAATACATAATCTCAGCACACACACACACACACACACCACGATGTCCCTTTCCATCACGTGCACAAAGCATTTGCCACATTAATAAATGCACGAGCACATAATCAGACACTTGTTGTTTTCCCTGAAACAGCTTGTTTAACCCTCTGTCTTTGACCTCTGACCTGCAGGGCGATGTGCCATCAGCCACTGGGGGGCATCTGTCAACATCATCTCATTTTGTTTGGAAATCTCATATTTGCAAGCGAGGTTGTTCATGGCTTACTCCGTGTTGTACGATTAGGAAAAAAAAGAAAATGGACAGTAGCCGGGCCAAGACTGCTATTTAACAATATAGAGGTAGAAATGGAATTAATAGACGCACATAATCAGACACTTTTCCCCCTGAACAGCTGTTTAACCCTCTGACCTCTGACCTGCAGGGTGATGTGCCATCAGCCACTGGGGGGCATCTGTCCTCGCTGCCACCCCTTCATCCTGTAAAGCTTTTGGGACAGGAGTGCGGGTGCCCCTTCCCGACACTGCAGCCCCACTGGAGTCACCCGTGCCAAAGCTAGGTTGCGTGAAAGCAGCGGAGATGGGCAGCCCGGGCAGCGAGGTGGGTCTAAACGACCCGTTGGAGCCCACTTCAGAAGCTCTGTGTCCCGAGTGTGGGCAGATCCACCGCAGCTGGGAGAACCACCTCTACAACTACCGCCTGGAGGTGGACGACGACCTGGTGTGCCACATCTGCCTGCAGCCGCTCGTTCAGCCCCTGGACACGCCCTGCGGACACACCTTCTGCGCCCGCTGCCTGAAGAGCTTCCTGAAGGAGAGGGACTTCTGCCCGCTGGACCGCACGAGGCTGCAGCTGCCGGCCTGCCGCAGGTCCAGCATCCTGGTGCATAAGCTGCTGGACAAGCTGTCCGTCTCCTGCCCTTTGACCCCCCTCTGCGCCCTCAGCATGCCGCGGTGCGACTTGGAAGCTCATCTCAAACACAGGTAATGAAGCTCACATGATGAATGCACACATGAAAGCCAAGTCAAGCAGGATTTCACAAGCCCTTCGGAAGTGTTGTAGCTGTATGGAAATCACTTACATAATTCACAATGACACCTAGTGTGTTATGTCTAAAGGTGAAAAGTATTTAGTCTTTCAGAAGACAGTGAATTGCCAGAAGTTAAATTATTACTCGCTTACATTTTAGCAAAAGTTTCAACAATGCATCGGTTAAATCTTCTCAAGAGTGAATGATTTTCTAATTTGTCATCCCATGGTAGGTAATGGAATACTTTGAGGAGTACGTTTGAGGAAATATTTAATTTAAAGACACTTTGGGCCCTGTTGGAGAAATACTGTTTTCTCCTCTCTTTGGGTTGTTTTAATGCACTGATATCATGTGTGGCTCTGAACTGTGTATGACCTTGCAGCTGCCTCTTCTTGTGATAGGAGGAGGCAGGGCATTTCAGGTTGTTGATATTTATGAGAAGACAGACTTGCTGTCTCCTAAATATCTCCTTTCTATGAAGCGTGAAGGAAGTACGTGACTCTTTCCAGAAGACGTCACAGATGACCCATCGCAGATGACCCGACTTTTTTCTCCATTTTCTGGATTCAACAATGTATCTGTTAATGGAGAAAATAATTGACAGATTGATAATGAAGAAAAAAAACTGAAAAGAGTTGCGTTTGAAACCGCTCCGCCCTCACAGTTAGCTTGTCTCTGCCAGGGACTCTTAAGGATGTCCTAGTTCTTAGCCCAGGGCATTTAGACTCACCTGCCACCCTTAACCTAAAGGGTTTCCGTTCCTTTGGCTTTTGGCCCATTTGGACCAGGTGCTGTGAGACCCTGAGGGGATTATTGGGCTGGATAGGTCATGTGACGGGGATTAGTGTTTCCCTACCGCACTGTACCGCGGTCATGGGTTGACTGACCAGGAGCTCCATATTCTCATTCTGCCATCATGCTGAGCAACTTCAACACCAGAGACCTTTTCAACCACTTCTTCTGCGAGACAGCCAAAGGCAACCCTGGCCTGTGGTGAGTCCGACACGGAGGGTGTGGGTCGGCACAATCATAATATAATAATAATAATAATGGCACTTCACTCTCCACCTTTCCTTGTGTGTCTCTTTCTGGCTCTCTCTGTTGCTCTGTCCTGCTCTGAAATGCAAGGTGGTGTGTGATTTTGATAGTGCTTCAAAGTTGTCATAGGTTAGGCTGCTGTCGTTGGGTGGATTTAGTTTAAATGCAGCATATCAGAGGATACTTAAAAATAACTACCGTATACAGTGTGAGGAAATGCTAGTTTTCTTTGTACAAAGCTTTTGTTTTTTTGGTAAACTTAGCTATAGTTGTGAGGACATATACTGTAGAAAAATGTCTATTAACTGTAGTTAAAACAAATTAAGATGGTGTCGTTGATATGAAGCCATCCATCCTAATTGGCTTTCTTATTGACCTGTATCCAGTAACGACCTAACACCTTCATTAAGTAAAGTGGATGTACCATAACAAGCTCACCTTAACAGGCTATTACCAACAAGGTGTCTATCTGTTCTAGTTGGCTGTTTCCAACCCTATCACGTCTTAAAGGAGGGACTAACTGTTGCCACTTTAGGAAGTCACTTAACAGTAAAAGAATAAGCAGAAAATACCCATTTAAACTCAGCATACTGCCTCCGTTAACACGTCTGTAACAGCAATATGTCTAAATGTAACTAACGTTTGCTAAAATTAGCCTCAGTAAGCTTCCAGTCACAACAGACTAAGAGAAGCTGAGCAGTGAATCCCTGAGCAGTGAAGGTGTTATTCTGGGACCGCTTCTCTCTCATCTGCAACGTTATTGTTAACAGTCTCCTTGTGCAGGGCTTTTAATCTATACAGCTTTTATTCAATCACATGAGCAGAGTGGTATGTCTCAGTGAAGGTTGCACGCATCCTGTCAGTGTTGAAAGGACAGGGAAAGGTGGTTTAAGAGAGATCAAACAAGGTTGATCTGAGGACTAACGTGACATTCTTCAGCGGAGATTAAACCTCTGAGCCACGGAGGTTTGTCGCTCCTCTACTCTGCAGGTCTTAGATAGAAACAGAAGTCAGGAGAGGAGACATGAGATTATAAAATGAGAGGTCAAGCCAAGCCACGTTGTTCCGAGGTGGTGAAGGTGAGCTGGGTGATCTGATCACTGATGGTGAGGCACTGTCACTCCTACTAAATCCAAAGTGCTCGGATTGAAGCGTCTATAGAGGTTGGACTTTTACATTTTGGTTAAAAAGTTTAATCGTTTTCCTCTCAAAACGATATATTTTGGTCGTGGGGGAAATGGTGAAAGATGCATAAGTGAATTCAGAATTAGAAACAACACCGCTCGTTGACTGTTTTCTATTTTAAGATTAGCAAGAGCATAGAATCGTAGGACAGCGATATACATTTAAATGATTCAATAAGCTCATAGCTGCCACTGAAGAGTGCGAGTGCATCGATCCCTTTAGTCTGAGTTTATCTTTCATTGTCTCTCAAGACTTACTGTTGGTATAAATGATTTATCCATCTGTTTGTTTTCATAGAAAGGACTTCTCAGAATAGCTGAACTTTTCAACTGTTATGTTATTATCCCATCATTCAGCCCAAAAACGTTCTGATTTCAGCTTCTTATATGTGAGTTTTTGCGGTGTATATCCGTTTTGTTAACATCTTCATGTTTGAAACTGCTGGTTGTTCAAATCAATCATTTTGTTGAGTTTGGGAAATTGTGAAATCACACTAATTCTGGCTTCCCTCCACTGGCCTCCTGTCCATTTTAGAGTCCATTTTAAGATGTTATTGTTTGTTTTTAAATCTCTTAATGGGCTGGCCCCAGAGAACATCTCAGACCTCTTACAGGTGTACACCCCCTCAAGGGCTTTGAGGTCGGCTGATCAGCTGCAGCTGATAGTCCCAAAAACAAAGAAAAAGACCAGGGGAGACCGAGCGTTCTCATCGGTAGCCCCCAGGCTCTGGAACGACCTGCCCCCTCATGTAAAATTGTCGCCCACTCTTGAAGCTTTTAAGTCCCGCTGTTATGTGCTCCCCTCCTGTTTGTCTCTCTGTCTCTCTGCTACCCAGTTCAGTCTGACCTATGTCATACCCTATTTGTATGCTTTTACTGTCTTTCCATAGCCTTTATGTGCCTTGTATTTATTCTTATGTGTGGTTTTTATGTTTTCTTATGTGTGCCTTTTATCTTTTCGTGTAATATTATATTTTATTATAATGTTGTGTTCATTGTGAAGCACTTTGGCAAACCCTATTTTTCAACTGTGCTATATAAATAAAGTGGATTGGATTGGATTGAGGACATTTTTAACTATTTTCTCATTTCAATTAACTAATACATCCAAATAAACTTGTTTGTACAAATGTGTCTGAAATTGCAGTCACAGATGTTCATATACATTCATTCTCGTATATATATCTATATATAGATATATATATCTATATTCACTGTAAACAGCAGTTTCTCTGGTATTTTCTATCATCATCAGTTTGCCTTAATACATTGGGATCTTTCTACAAAAAATACTTCTTCACCTTTTCTGCTGAATTCCTCCATGTGGCCCCTAACGAGGGGACACACAAACAGAGACTCTCTTGGTTGAATCAATTGCATCACATTAAATTAAAGGTCCAGTGTGTAGGATTTAGGGTAATCTATTGGAAAATGATATTCATTATGAGATCATCATTAGTGTTTTTGTTAGCTTATAATGAGCCCTTCATACCTACATCAAAGTGATCACCACCATGTGCTCAGAAAGGACCAATCAAACGCTCTAGAGATGGCCTTTTACTTGACGTGAAGTGGAGGGGTGTTGAGTTTATTGCAATCTGCCACCTCGCCACTAGATGCCGCTAATTCCCACACACTGGACCTTTAACTGATGCTGAACCTGATTTTCTTTACACGTCAGATGGACTAACAAACTGACGCCTGTTGCTTGGTGAAAGGTGTCCCGGGACGAGGAGTCAGCAGACGAGCGAGGACGTCCCGCGGTGTGAGAGCGGGGATGAGCGTGTGACGGTGACCAGCCCCCCCAGGTCGCCCCGCTCCCCACAGACCGTGCTGAGGGACCGCACGCCCACGCCGCCCTCCGGGTCTGATAACACGGCCGTCACTGGGCCCGTGTGGACGGACGACGCCGGCTTCGACAACCCCGCCTTTGAGGAGAGCACGGAGGAAGAAAGTGAGTGGATCTGGGCTCGTAAGTAGGGTTAGATTATCAATGAAGTCAATACAGGTTAGATGAGACAAAATGTATCAGACACTGTAGAAATAATCCTCACCACACCGGGTTCGAATCCTTCTCGTGGCTTTTTGCTTCGTTCTTTCTCCCCATTTCCTGTCTCTTCTCATCTACAATAAAGGCACAAAAGATCATCTTCAAGAAAAATTAATGATCTATTCTTTAATGTCGCTCCGTCTCTAGGTGTGGTAGGGATGGAGTGTGTGGTCCCCAGGGTGAAGCGGCCCCTCAGTAACCCCTGCATCCACCTCCTGCGATCAGTCAGCTCCACCTCCTCTGGCTGGGACTGCGCTGAGTCTCCGCCCCTTTCTGCTGAAGAAGGTATGACATCACTTCCTCAATTTGGCTCAGCATCTTCCTACAGGGCTGCATAATGAGTACTTTTGGTACATTAAAGATCCCCTATTATACTGTTTTTCATCAATATATTATAGGTCTCAGATAAATACAAAATATGTCTCTGAAGTGTTTGGCTCCAAACACCAAACAGATCATTGCAGCATCCCATAATCCCCTCTGTTTCAGCCCTGTGTCCAAAGTGCTGATTATCTGTCTGTTACTTTAGATGAAAATAAGGAGCCCCTCCCCACGCCCCTCTGAGAGAGATTTGGTTAAAAAGAACACAATAGGCGCTTTCACACCGGAGTACTTTTCCCGTTTAGTTCAGAGATAGTGCCTGGAATTTTGCGTTCACACCAAAAAGAAAACTTAGTTCAGAGAACTTTTCCCCCCTTTTCAGTCCCTGCTAAAGAGGTGGTACTATCCTGGGGAGAAAAAAGTACCAATTTCTGATTGGCTGGGCGGATTGCAAACCACGCCCCAAAGCAGAAGAAGAAGAAGTGACGTCAGCGGCTTCATTTGCCTAATCTTCCCTCAGGGACTTATTCCGGTGTGAACGCGATCTGTACTTAGTTCCATCGGGACACTAAGTGCTGGGAACTAAGTACGGCAAAGTACTTGGTGCGAAAGCGGCTAATGGTGCTCTAGGACAGGGGTTCCCAAACTTTTCAGCCCGCGACCCCCAAAATAACAGTGCCAGAGACTGGCGACCCCCCTGTCGACGGGTCGAGGAGTTTTCCCCACTCTTGTGGGAATATCTCCGCAATGGAGCGAGCTCAAGTTTCACTTTCGATTGCTTGATATGAAAATGTCTATGCAAACGTTATTATTATTAATAATACTTTTATTATACAATTTTTTTTTTTTTTTTCCATTTTTATTTTGTAATCATCTCGCGACCCCCACTCGGGGTCTCGTTATGACATCATAAAGTGGCCAAAGTCTGATCAGCTCATTTTCTTTTTTATATAAATGGATCAGGACAAAAATGAGAGAATCTTTTTTCCTGAAACTTTCAGAGTCTCTT